TCTTTAGCTTTGTCAAGATTACTACAATAAAACAGTTTCCTGTTGGCGAAATCTTTAGCACAAAAGGGTCAAATTTCCACCCTTGAAATAGACAAAGCTTCTCCCTCCCTTCAAATGGGACTCTTGCCCATATAATGTGGGCAGAGTTGGCATCACATTTGGTTGCAGGGTTGGGTTCCTGGATGCTTATGATGTGGTTGTGTAGCATGATTACCAGAAAGAATTCGTTTCAGGTTGTGGACTTGTCTGTTAGCAAGAATAGGCTTTTCCCCAAAGGTCTCTAAGAGTGAGGGATCATTTTCCAAGATGCGTTGCAGATTGTGTTTAATGCATTGGAGGGGGTTGAGTCTGTAGGTGAAAACAAGTGGGATTCTGTTATTCTCCCTTTTGGATCTGTCTTGAAGTAGTTCATGTCTGGGTACTTTTTTGGCTCTGTTAATCTGTTGGGTATTTCAGTCTTAGGAATGCTCTATAAAGATCCTGTAGGTGATTGTCTCTCTCTGTACGATGCCAATTCTGCCCACATATCTATACTAGTGAATTTATCACTGGAGCAAACAACATAAGCTACCAAATCAAAAGGTCATTTGACTGCACATCCAGTAATTTGATCTATGCCAGCAATGCCCCACTGCCAGGGCCAGCTCGAGCCATTCCTGTGCCCTGGGCAGCAGACGTGCGACGCATATGCGGCTCTGCTCCAGGGTGCACGTGCAACCCCGCCCCCCCCGGTACACAGCACCTGATTGCAGCTCTAAGGGGCGCCGCACGGTCCCCAGCCCCGGGCATGCAGTGCCTGATGGCAGATCTAAAGGGCGCCGCGCGGCCTTCGGCCCCAGGCACATGGCGCCCCTTACAGCTGCCATCAGGTGCCCCCCATAGGTTGGCGCTCTGGGCAGCTGCCCAGCTAGCCCATGCCTTAATCCAGCCCTGACTAGATATTGACATCTTAGCTTCTAAATACTCTTCAGAATATTAGCCCTGTGGATCTGTAAAGTTCGTAGAGTAGTGAATACATTATATTCTTTACACCCTGTGTATAAGGACACTTCAAGCTCGATTCCTTACTTGTATTAATTAGGAATGTGAAAGGTTAACTGGTTAACCAGTCAGAGCTGGAGCAGCTCTTCAACCAGTCAGTAGGAGCTGAGAGATTGGCCTGGTGGGGGGGCAGGAGCAGTGCAAGCCTCTGCCCCCTCCCGCCTATCTGGAGCAGAAAGCCATGTGGTGTGAACAGCCTAAAGTTTTAAGCCATCTGGGACTGCAGCAGGCAGGGAGCCCAGGCTGCCCTGGGGGCACTGCAGGGCTGCTGGCTGGGAGCTGCTTAGGTAAGTGCTTCCTGGACAGAGCCTGCCTCTGGCACCCCAGCCCCTCCCTTAGCTCCCTCTCCCAGGTCACCATCAAAATCCTGTGCATCCCTTGCCCCAGGTCAGAACTCCCTCCCAGACCCTTCACCATAAGAGCATAAGAACGGCCATACTGGGTCAGACCAAAGGTCCATCTAGTCCAGTATCTTGTCTGCCAACAATGGCCAATACCAGATGCCCCAGGGAGAGGGATCACAACAGGTAATCCTCACATAATCCCTCCCCTGTCACCCACCTCCAGAGAAACAGAGGCTAGGGATACCTTTCTTACCCATCTTGGCTAATAGCCATTGATGGATCTAACCTCCACAAATCTATCTTGCTCTTTTTTGAACCCTGTTAAAGTTCTAGCCTTTACCACATCCTCTGGCAAGGAGTTCCACAGGTTGACTGTGCGCTGAGTGAAGAAAAACTTCCTTTTTGTTTGTTTTAAATCTGCTGCCTATTCATTTCATTTAGTGACACCTCGTTCTTTTATTGTGGGAATAAGTAAATAACTTTTCCTTATTCACTTTTTCCACACCAGTCATGATTTTATAGACCTCTTCACAGTCTGCTTTGGTCTTAACTATCTTGAGCAGTTTGGTATCATCTGCAAATTTTGCCACCTCACTGTTTACCCCTTTCTCTAGTTCATTTATAAATAAGTTGACTAGGATGGGTCCTAGGACAGACCCTTAGGGGATCCCACTAGTTACACCACCTCCTACACCCCTTCCCCAGGCCAGAATCCTCTTCTGTACCCCAGTCCTTGACCCAAATCACAACCCCTTCCTTCACTCAAACTCCCTCTCAAACCTCACACTGTCTCCTGCACGCTAGTCCCTTACCCCATGTGACCAGATGTACCCAGCCTCCATCTTAGACCCCACATCCCCTCCACAGAAAAGTGCAGTCCAAAAAAGTGACCACTTGCCAAAATTTTGGAATACCTTCCCCCCCAGAAAATTATTGCCTGCCTCTGTTGTAGTATGTGTACTTTTATGTTCTATAGATATTTTGCAGGTTTTCTAATTTGACGGTTTAAAAATGTCCTTATCACCTAATCATAGAATCCTAGGGCTGGAATAGACCTCAGAAGGTCATCAAGTTCAGCCTCCTGCCCAAAGCAGGACCAATCCCAACTAAATCATCCCATCCAGGGCTTCGTCAAGCTGAGACTTAAAAACCTCTAGGGATGGAGATTTTAACCCCCTTCCTAGGTAACTCATTCCAGTGCTTCCCCACCATCCTAGGGAAATAGTTTTTCCTAATATCCAACCTAGATTTCCCCATACTGTGTCAGATGAAAGGATCCTGGGTTACATGTACCAGTCTCTGACTCTGGCTAGTGCTGGCTGTTTCAGAGGAAATGAACAAGACAATTTTGAGTGATCCCTCCCTATGGCCAAGTATGTGGCAGCCAGAGATTTTGGGACACACGGGCTGTGTCAAGACTGGCAAGTTTTTCCACAAAAGCACCTGCTTTTGCAGAAAAACTTGCTAACTGTCTACACTGGCCGCTTGAATTTCCGCAAGAGCACTGACAATCTCATGTAAGAAATCAGTGCTTCTTGCGGAAATACTATGCTGCTCCCGTTCGGGCAAAAGTCCTTTTGCGCAAAAGCTTTTGCGCAAAAGGGCCAGTGTAGACAGCCCAGATTTGTTTCGCACAAAAAAGCCCCGATTGTGAAAATGGCGATCGGGACTTTTTTGTGCAAAAGCGCGTCTAGATTGGCACAGACATTTTTCCGCAAAAAGTGCTTTTGTGGAAAAGTGTCCGTGCCAATCTAGACACTCTTTTCTGCAAATGCTTTTAATGGAAAACTTTTCCGTT